AACCTCTTTTTGTTATGACCAATACTGTAGTCCTTTTCCAATTTTCTGAATGTCCAAAGGGAACCAAAAAAAAAAAAAAGTCAATCATTCACTGTTGACTGTTTATTCTAATAATAAATGCAGCATAATGAAAAAAAAAAAAACTGTCACGCACTCATTGCTGAATCCATCCCTCATCATGCACATTTACAGAACTCTCTTACTTAGTCCAGGGGAAGGCGATGATAACTAGACAGGAGCCACAGGTACCGTGTGGCTGAGCAACTGGACTCCCACAGAGTCAACCATGGTTCGAGTTCCTGACCTGGTGGTTTGAAAATCATGCCAGGTACATGTGTATGTGTGCCCAAAATCCCCACAGGAGAATGAAGGAAAAGGGATAGTGGCATGGCCATCCCCCTAGGGGATAATTCTCACTTCCCCTCTCTTGGTCTATGTCAAGTGCACACACCTATGGCAAAAACCTAAAATAATAATAATAATTTCTTTTATATCTAGAGTAGTGGGTTTTTACATGTAAAATATCTATAACATATGCTAACTATAGAGTTCTATTGGTTTTCTATCATTGCATAATAAATCACCAGAAATTTAGTGGCTTGAAACAACACCCACAAATTAGCACAGTCCTGAAGTTCTCCATTGAACGGCTGAGTTTTCTGCTCAAGGTAGTACATGGGTGAAATCAAGGTGTCTCTTAGGTCAAGTTCTTGTCTTAAGGCTCTTGGGAAAAATCCGCCTTCAAGCTCCTTCTTGTTGGCAAAACTCAGTTTTTCCCAATCACATTGAGGTCCCCACACCTTTGCTGGCTCTTTTCTGGGGCCACCCTCAGCTTCATGAGACTGCTCACAGGTGCTGTCAGGTGGTCCTTTGATCACAGTGGAGGAAGATGTCACTCATGTAGAACTCCTCGCATGTTTCAGATCTTCCCAATTTCTACTTCCGTGACCAGCCAGAGAAAGCGCTCTGCTATTAATGGCCCGTGTGACGAGGTTAGACCCCTTCAAATTCTCCATATATTAAGGTCGACTGTGTTACATAACGTAACTTAATAACGGAATTCAATGTCATCACAGTCCAGTCCTGAAGACTACGCAGGGAGCGTCATGCCAGGATCAGGAAATCTACAAGAATATCTAAGAATTCGACTATGAAAAGTGTCAAATAAAAATCTTATAGAAACAAAGTAGAAGAAAGAGAAACCTCAATGAGAGCTCGAATTTAATCTGACAACATTTTGAGCCATTCCAAGACAAATTTCCTTCTTTCCTCCTTCTTAGAAGGATAAGAACTTTGAGACTTGAGTGGAAAGAGACATGAAAGAACTTTCTGGAGTGTTGAGCATATTCTAAATCTTGACCGGCATGTTGATTGTGCACACATGTGTGTATATATGTATGCGTGTGGGTATGTGTTGCCAAATATATATACGGCAGGTACCAAATATATATATATATTTGGAGGGAGGATGAGAGGGTATTAGCTATTATAGGGAGTAGCAAGAGAGCTGAGAAGGAGACAGGAATAAGCTTTGAGATGCCAGTTATGAGTGGGGGCAAGATTTAATGAAAACTGGAAAAGGAGAATGAAGAATAAACAAAAGAGAAGAAAACTTAAATGAGCAAAGGAAAACACATCCTATTTGTGGAGTTTTGAAGTTCTGGAACCATTCTAATTGCTACTGTTTTTCATCTGGGTAACACTAGTTTTCTCTAGTTGCAACTAATACGGTAGACTCTTCGGTCTGACTTGTTTCTGACAGACAAAAGTTATAAATTTTGGCTTGGCAATCCCCAAAGTGATGCCTGTGTTGGCCTATAAATGTCTGGTGAGACTCCTTAGCACTTAGGAGCTCTCTGAGATATTGATGTTTGTAAGCTCTTCTCCCTACCTTCTCCCAATACTGGGTGCTCCCTTACTTCACAGAAACTCCTGAAGAAAAGGGGAGGGGTCTCTCATGATGTGAATGACACTGCTGTGAATTCCTGAGTATACTTGCTGCTGGGAGTCGGAGGCCAAGTGTAACCTCTGTTGTGTATGAGCAATACTGTAGTCCTATTCCAATTTTCTGAATGTCCAAAGTGAACCAAAAAAAAAAAAAAAGTCAATCATTCACTGTTGACTGTTGATTCTAATAATAAATGCAGTATAATGAAAAAAAAAAAAACTGTCACGCACTCATTGCTGAATCCATCCCTCATCATGCACATTTACAGAACTCTCTTACTTAGTCCAGGGGAAGGCGATGATAACTAGACAGGAGCCACAGGTACCGTGTGGCTGAGCAACTGGACTCCCACAGAGTCAACCATGGTTCGAGTTCCTGACCTGGTGGTTTGAAAATCATGCCAGGTACATGTGTATGTGTGCCCAAAATCCCCACAGGAGAATGAAGGAAAAGGGATAGTGGCATGGCCATCCCCCTAGGGGATAATTCTCACTTCCCCTCTCTTGGTCTATGTCAAGTGCACACACCTATGGCAAAAACCTAAAATAATAATAATAATTTCTTTTATATCTAGAGTAGTGGGTTTTTACATGTAAAATATCTATAACATATGCTAACTATAGAGTTCTATTGGTTTTCTATCATTGCATAATAAATCACCAGAAATTTAGTGGCTTGAAACAACACCCACAAATTAGCACAGTCCTGAAGTTCTCCATTGAACGGCTGAGTTTTCTGCTCAAGGTAGTACATGGGTGAAATCAAGGTGTCTCTTAGGTCAAGTTCTTGTCTTAAGGCTCTTGGGAAAAATCCGCCTTCAAGCTCCTTCTTGTTGGCAAAACTCAGTTTTTCCCAATCACATTGAGGTCCCCACACCTTTGCTGGCTCTTTTCTGGGGCCACCCTCAGCTTCATGAGACTGCTCACAGGTGCTGTCAGGTGGTCCTTTGATCACAGTGGAGGAAGATGTCACTCATGTAGAACTCCTCGCATGTTTCAGATCTTCCCAATTTCTACTTCCGTGACCAGCCAGAGAAAGCGCTCTGCTATTAATGGCCCGTGTGACGAGGTTAGACCCCTTCAAATTCTCCATATATTAAGGTCGACTGTGTTACATAACGTAACTTAATAACGGAATTCAATGTCATCACAGTCCAGTCCTGAAGACTACGCAGGGAGCGTCATGCCAGGATCAGGAAATCTACAAGAATATCTAAGAATTCGACTATGAAAAGTGTCAAATAAAAATCTTATAGAAACAAAGTAGAAGAAAGAGAAACCTCAATGAGAGCTCGAATTTAATCTGACAACATTTTGAGCCATTCCAAGACAAATTTCCTTCTTTCCTCCTTCTTAGAAGGATAAGAACTTTGAGACTTGAGTGGAAAGAGACATGAAAGAACTTTCTGGAGTGTTGAGCATATTCTAAATCTTGACCGGCATGTTGATTGTGCACACATGTGTGTATATATGTATGCGTGTGGGTATGTGTTGCCAAATATATATACGGCAGGTACCAAATATATATATATATTTGGAGGGAGGATGAGAGGGGTATATTAAATTGCCATATTTGTTATTTTATTTGCTAAATAAAATAAAATTGCCATATTTGTTATTTTATTTGCTAAATAAAATTTGGTACATATATATATATATATAAATATATATACAAATATATACAAATATATATACAAAATATATATACAAAAATATATATACAAATATATACATATATCACTGTACAAAAATCACGTCAATAAATTTAAAAGAAATAGAACCCAAGCACGTGTTGACATCACACACATGGTGTAAGAAGCACCTGAGAAACCTAGAAGACAGAGAGAGGACTGAGGAACTGAGGAAAGTAACCAAAGGTAATGCCCTCATGGTGGTGCTGAAGATGGCGCAGGTGGAAGGAGGAAGGAGGGAAGGGCGAGAGGGTGGGGATCAAGGGGAAGAAGAAAGAAGAAAAACATTTCAGAAGCCCAAAAATGTAAAAAAAATC